CCCGGCGCGGCGGGTCGGCGCTGGGCCTCGAACCGTGATCCTCAGGCCTCAGCCTCCCCCCCTCCCCCGGGGGGAGTACCCCGGATGACAGGCCCGCCCCCCCCGGACCCCACCCACGTGGTGACCTTCCCACTTCCTGGCAACTTTCTGGTGCTGGCTGGCCTTGAACTCGGGGCCTGGAGTCCCCGACTTCTCCCCTCCTCAAGGCCGGGCGCTGCGCCGCGCGCGCCACGGCGCCACGTCCAGCTTCTGGGCCCCTCGGAGGCCTTCGCGGACTTTCCCGCCCGGCCTGGCTTTGAACCGTGATCCTCGGGATCTCCGGCCGCCTGAGTGGCGGGGATCCGGCAGGCCCGCGCCTTCTGCTTTTCTAGTTTGACTCTGACCCGTTCCCTTCTTTCTCCCTCCCCACCAGTTTCCTGCCTTCGCTCTGTGGTGTTGATCACGGGTGGATAGATTTATAGGTTCCATAATTGATGATCATTTTTTTTTGGGGGGGGAGGGATAGACTTCTGGGGGGTCTTGGTCTGTAATCCAGCTTCATTTCTATATTTGAATTTGTGTGTGCGGGAGAATAAAATTTGGGGGAGCTGATGAGTGATGGCAATAATGATAAGGCGATGTCTAGAGAAAGGAATGAATGATTCCCCTTGACTCTCCTGTCCCCTAAGCGAACCCTTAACCCCCTTTTTTCTGCCCATGCTGATTGATAGGGTTCAGGGGTCTGTATCTGTTGAGTGCATCTTTTGGAGCAGGTAGATTCGAGCTGGGGCTGAGAAGATTTCTTTCTGGCTCCCTTTTGGATTAAGTCCTCTAAGTTGGTAGTGATTCTTTAATGAGGCTGAAGGGATGGGGTAGAGTTCTTGGGGGTGCGGGGAAGGGGGGGGAATATGACACTGGGAAGGAAATAAAAGCAAATCTCAACTTCATGATCCAAACCAAAGGGTTTCATTGCTAATTTTCTTTTGTCAATCATGGGGCTTGAACTAGGGGCCTGGACACTGTCCCTGAGCCCTTTTGCTCAAGGCTGGCACTTTGCAAACACTTTGAGCCACAGCGCCACTTCCGGTTTTTCTGGTGGTTCATTGGAGATAAGACTTTGAATTGCGATCCTCAGATCTCAGCCTCCTATAGCTGGGGTTACAGGCGTGAGCCACTGGCCCTGTTGCTTTGTTATTTACTTTGTTATTTACAGCCTGTTTGTTTGGGATGCAGTTTCTTGGGTAAAATAACAGATAAATAATAAAAATACAATAATAATAAAAATGATGGCAGCTCTTAGGGGATGTTCTTGGTTGCGTTTACATTTTAAAGCAAAGACTGTGTTGGTGATCTAGTATTTCTTGGTGGTCCAGTGTCTTAGAAAAAGAAACTATGATGAACGCCTTTTAAGTTTCACAAAATAGGAAAATATAAGAAAAAGTAAATTGTCCCTTTTTTGGGGGGCTGGTCTTGGGACTTGAACTCAGAGCCTGGGCACTGTACTTGAGCTTTTGCGCTCAAGTCTGGTGCTCTGCTGCTTGAGCCAGCGCTCCCCTTCCAGTATTTGGCTGGTTCATTGGAGATAAAGTCTCGTGGACTTTCCTGCCCAGGCTGGCTTTGAACTGTGGCCTTCAGTTCACAGCCTCCTGAGTAGTGTTAAAGGCACCTGGCTAAATTATTATTGTTTTATAAATGACAGCCGGAATGACTAAATCAAAATGATTTTTTTTTCCTTCTTTTCCGTTGGTCGTGGGGTTTGAACTCTGGGCCTGGGCGCTGTCTCTCAGCTCTTCAGCTCAAAGCGAGCATTCTACCACTTGAGCCACAGCACCACTTCGGGTTTTCTGGTGGTTGATTGGAGAGAAGAGTCTTTGAATTGTGACCCTCAGCTCTCCTCTTCTTGAGTAGCTGGGATTACAAGCATGAACCACCAGTCCCTCCCTGCCCACCAAATGATGCCTTTTGAGACAATGATTCGTTTTCCAAGGTGGATGGGCCTGAATGTGGCTATGTGATTGTATTGCATACTGGGAGTTCTGGGCTCTACTGGAAAGGTCTGGAATAACTTTGAGATTAACCAGGGAAACTCCCATATCAGGAGCCTGAAAGATAAATCAGGAGCTGGTGCTCACACCTGTAATCCCAGCTTCTTTGGAGGCTGGGGTCTGAAGGATCACGCCTCCAAGCCAGCCTGGGCAGGAAAGCCAGTGAGACTCTTATCTCCACGTAACCAGCAAAAAGCCAGAAGTGGAGGTGTGGCTCAAGTGGTAGAGCACCATCCTTGAGCAAAAAAAAAAATGTTTAAAGGAATAAGTTCCTGAGCCTTGAGTTCAAGTCCTAACACAGCTACAGAACACAAAACAACCCCGAAGGACCTGTCTGGGAGCCAGGAGTAAAGTGGATTTGGGGTTCTTCCCATGTAGGAGTTGAGGTGGAACCGCATCCCCGGGCACCGCACACCTCTATCATGGAGACGGAGAGCGAGCAGAATTCCAGCTCTGCCAGCAACGGTGCCAGCTCGGGCAGCAGCTCCCGGCCCCAGATCGCACAGATGTCCCTGTACGAGCGGCAGGCGGTGCAGGTGGGTGCCATGGTGGGGGGGGAGGTGGGGGGGTCCCCCTCCATTTCTTCCCAGCAGTCGGGTCAGGGCCAGGAAGTGTGTGTGTGTGTGTGTGTGTGTGTCATCCGTGCTCCTCGGGAGGCTGAGATAGGAGGATCGTGGTTCAAAGCCAGCGCAGGAAAATGTGTGAGACGATCCATCAAAAAGCTGCAAGCGAGGCTGTGGTTCAAGTGCCCAGGCTGGCTTTCAACTGCCATCCTCAGATCTCAGCCTCCTGAGTAGCTGGGATGACGGGCGTGAGTGAATTCTTTAGAAGCTAGTCTTCATTTTTCTTTTCCTTTTGTCTTTTCTTTCCTTCCTTCCCTGGCTTCATCCTTCCCTCCTTCCTCCCTTCCTTTCTCTCCTTCTCTCCTTTGCTTGCTCCTTCCTTCCTTCCTTCGTTTTCTGGAGCTTGAACTCAGGGCGTTATACTCTCGCTTGACTTTCTCACTTGAGGCTAGTGCTCTACCACTTGAGCCACGCCTCCATGTGTGATTTTTGCTGGTGAATTGGAGCGCAGAGTCTCTTCTTGGCTTTCTCTGCCCAGTTGATCCTCCAGTCTCAGCTCCTGCCTTCTAGGATTCCAGCTGTGAGCCGCGCGCCCACCTGCCTTTCCCTCCTTTGCATATGAGATCGTATGTATCCGTCAATGCCCAGTTCCTGGCAGGTGATCCAGACTTAGGAGTTGGCACAGGAAAGGGGTCAGGCCACATGGAGCACAGTCCCCCGTCTCCTCCGTTCCTCTGCCTCCTTCCGAGACTACAGGGAGTGGCGGAGAGCTAGAGCCCGGCGTGCTGGGCGCGGTCCGGCGTCCTCGGGTCCTGTCCGTGGACGCTGGGCGCTGAGTCTCGCGTGCTGTCGTGTGTTCCGCAGGCGCTGCAGGCTCTGCAGCGGCAGCCCAACGCCGCGCAGTACTTCCACCAGTTCATGCTGCAGCAGCAGCTGAGCAACGCGCAGCTGCACAGCCTGGCCGCCGTCCAGCAGGTGAGCATGCGCGGGAGGGAGGGAGCGAGCGAGCGAGCGGGCGCCCGGAGCCAGACCCCCGTGTCCATCCTCCAGGTTAAGAAGTGGAGTCGCTCCATGGCTGCGGGTGCTGTGCGCACCCCTGTCATCCCAGCTCCTCAGGAGGCTGAGATCTGAGGATCGTGGTTCGAAGCCAGCCCGGGCAGGAAAGGCCCTGAGCCTCTTTTATCTCCCATGAACCGAGAAAACCGGAAGTGGTGGCTGTGGCTCAAGTGGTTGAGCGCCAGCCGTGAGTGAAAGAGCTCAGGGACAGCGCCCAGGCCCTGAGTTCAAGGCCCAGGACCAGCACCAAAAAATGGGAGAGTCACCTTGTAATGGTTGGATGACTGATGGAGATCTGGGGTGTGCAGTATGGCTGCCACTAACCATGTGGAGAGAGAGAATGTGTGTGTGTGTGTGTGTGTGTGTGCTGTGTGCGCATGCGCTCACACACATCTGCCAGAACTTGGGGCCTGGGCGCTGTCTCTTGGGTTTCTTCACTCAAGGCTGGTGCTCTACCACCTGAGCCACCCCTCACTTGCAGCTTTTTTGCTGGCTGATTGGAGGTAAGCGTCTTGGATTCGTCTGCCTTGGCTGGCATTGAACCTGTGGCCTCCTGAGTGTGTAGGATGACCGGTGTGAGCTGCGGGCCGGGTTCCGCAGGGAGCTCTTGAGCACTTGAAGCGTGGCGAGTCCAAACTGAAGTACAAGTGTACACATTAGTATGCAGAGCAGCTCCAGCGATAGGTGTATATACATGATGTGCAATATATATATACCCAGTGTACTGTGCTATGTGTACGATATACTATTAATGAAATATATGTACTACATACATGAAGTACTATAAGTGATATAAATTAAAGTGTACAGAACAAATTCACAGTACACATAAGTGTATTTTTGTTTATTTTTTTTGTTGGTCGTGGGGCTTGAACTCTGGGCCTAGGTGCTGTCCCTCAGCTCTTCAGCTCAAGGCTGGCGCTCTACCACTTGAGCCACAGCGCCACTTCTGATTTCTGGTGGCTTATTGGATCAAAGAATCTCATGGGCTTTCCTGCCCGGGCTGGCTTTGAACCTTAATCCTCAGATCTCAGCCTCTTCAGTAGCTAGGATGACAGGTGTGAGCCACCAGCGCCCAAGTGATAAATGTATTTACTAGTATATATACTAAATACATAGTATATATGTTACATATATCCTGTTTACACTAAATATACATACTTATACAGTAAGATATATTTACTATACGTCTATACTATGTATAGTTTGTCATACATATGTTTACTATGCTTACTATGTATCTATGATACACTGTAAGCATATAGTATATATAAATATATACTAAACACTATACAGACAGTAGTAAACCTATTTATAAATACTATGTATTCTATAGTATATCTATATACTATAGATATGGCGTATATGTTTCTAGATACAGTGTACATATCTATAGTACAGAGTATACATTTAGTGTATGTAATGTATCTGTATTTTAGCTAGCATATAATATAGTGTATGTGTACTATCTAGAGTGTATATGTATCTATCGTTCATCTACAGGATAGATGTTTATAGTATGTCTGTGACATGCTCTGGTACCTGTACTGGCTGCTGTAATATATGTGTATGCTATGTACATGCTAGCACATCTACCTATAACGTACGCCTGGATCTGTAAGGTTTCATGGAGTCATAATAGAGTCATAGAATGTCTACGATATACTGTGAATGGACACACATAAAATTACTGAAGCTCACACCTTGTGTTGCTTCTTGGCACACACGCAGGTGTGCTCATGACTCGCGTGCACTTGTGTGAGCTGGCTGTGTTCTGGCCGTAGCTCCTGGTGGACTTGGGTGAGCGATGGGAGCCGGGAGGCCGGCGGGCCCCGGGCCCTGTGCGCAGCGGCCGGGCTTGGCCTGTGTGGACCCGCGCTGCTGCGGTCGTGGGTGTGTGTTTCCCTGTCCGGAAGGACTGTGCTGTGAGCGCTATCAGGGAGACAGACGGGGCTGCGCCTCACGTCTCCCTCCGTCTCCCCTCACAGGCCACGATCGCTGCCAGCCGCCAGGCCAGCTCCCCGAACCCCAGCACGGTGCAGCCGCAGCAGGCCTCCACCACCCAGGCCTCCGTGAGTTCCCCTGCCACCTGGCCTCCTCCCTGATACTTGCCTTGCCCGGCTCCGCTCAGAACGTTGATCTCACCATGTTTACTGAGCCAGCGTGGGAAATTTCTTGCCCTCCCCGCCCCCTTTTGTGCCTATACTGGGGCTTGAACTCAGGACCTTGGTTTTTCTTTTAGGTTTTTCCCTTCCACCCCCTCAAGGCTGGCGCTCCACCACTTGAGCCACAGCTTTCTTTCCGGGTTTTTGGAGGCGAGAGGGTCACAGTCTGGCCTCGGATCTCAGCCTCCTGGGTGGCTGGGATGACAGGCGTGCACCACAGTTCCTGGCCTCACCTTTCCTTTGACCGGTTTTCTTGGTGTGCCTCACAGATGAACGTGGCCACCACATCGGCCGCCCAGCTCATCAGCCGATCCCAGAGCGTGAGCTCGCCCAGTGCCACCACCCTGACCCAGTCTGTGCTGCTGGGCAACACCACGTCCCCCCCGCTGAACCAGTCCCAGGCCCAGATGTACCTGCGGGTAAGTGTCACAACCGGCCTGGGCCAGGGCCGTGGGTTCGCATCCTGCTTTCGCTGCTCAAGGGTTGAGCGGCAGCTCTTTGACGCTCCCTTAGCTGTTTGTTTGTGGTGTGGGGAAGGAAGCCAGCCGGCCATGGGCACCAGCCTCCAAGCTGCAGAGCTTTTTTTTAAATGCTGATCCTGGATCTTGAACTCAGGGCCTGGGCGCTGTCCCTGAGCTCTTCAGCTCCAGGCCAGCGCGCTACCACTTGAGCCACAGCGCCTCTTCCCGTTCTCTGGGGGTTCATTGGAGATAAGAATCTCGCAGGCTTCCCTGCCCCAGGCTGGCTTTGAACCGGGATCCTCAGATCTCAGCCTTCTCTGGGTAGCTGGGATGACAGGCACGAGCCACCAGTGCCTGGCTGAAAGCTGTTTTCTTTACCTCAGTTTACCCAGATACTTAGTGACCCCTGGTACGTGTAGCGTGGCTCAGGATTATATTGCTAGAAGATTCGCCTTTAGTGTCAAAGGTCGTCTAACATTTAAACTTCGGGCTCGAGTACAAAATCTTTTTTTTTTAGTGCCAGTAATGGGGCTTGAATCAAAGTTAGTTAGTTAGTGCTCTACTACTTGAGCCACAGCTCCACTTCTGGCCTTTTGCTGGTTCACTGGAGCTAAGGATCTCATGGACTCTAGCTGCCGGGCTGGCTTTGAACTGTGATCCTCAGCTCTCAGCCTCCTGAGGGGCTGGGGGGACAGGCGGGAGCCTTGTCTTCTCTCTGCTTCCGTCTCCTTTACCCCCCTTCCTGCTCTCCTTGTCAGCCACAGCTGGGGAACCTGTTACAGGTAAACCGGACCCTGGGTCGGAATGTGCCTCTCGCCTCCCAGCTCATCCTCATGCCCAACGGGGCTGTGGCCGCCGTGCAGCAGGAGGTGCCGTCCGCCCCCTCCGCCCCGTCGCCCGGAGTCCACGCAGACCCCGACCAGGTCAGTGGCGGCCCTGCTGGCCGGCGCCCGCCTCCACCTCCGCCTCCGCTTCCGCTGCTCTCCCTCCTCCCTTTTCCTTTCGTGCCACTGTCCATTCCTTTCCTGCCTTTTTCTTGCCCCTTTCCCTTCCCTTCCCTTTTCATTCAGTGTTCCTTTCTTTCCCTTCCTTCTCTTTTCCCTTCCCTTCCCTTTTTGTTCCTTTCCTTTTCTTCTCCTTTCCTTTCCTTCTCCTTTCCCCTTTTCCTTTTTTTCTCCTTTTCTTCCCCTTCTTCTTCCTTTTCCTTTCCTTTTCCCTTTGCTTCTCTCCTGTCATTTCCTTTTTCCTTTCCTCTTCCCTGTTTTTCCTTCTTTCTTCCTTCCTTCCTCCCTGTCCCGTTCCCGATCCCTGCAGTGCGTGGGTCCCTTTCCACGCTGCTTTCATTTGAGAGAGAAGAGTAGGATTCCCTCACATATGTACATCTGGAGAAGGTTGCTTTATTTTTTTGTGCTGGTGCTGGGACTTGAACTCAGGGCCCAGGTGCTGTCCCCTTAAAGCTTTTTCACTCCCGGCCGGGGGTCTAGTACTTGCTGGGGGCACACCTCCATTCCACTCGCCCAGCCTGGTTGGCTTTGAACCGCGATCTTCCCGGCAGCCTCCCGAGTGGGCCGGACTGCAGGTGTGAGCGGCTGAGCAAAGCCCCGTTTGCACACGTTTCAGGTGCAGAACTTGGCGGTGAGAGCGCAGCAGGCCTCAGCGCCCGGGGCCCAGATGCCAGGCCCCGCGCCCAAGGCCGTGGCGCCCGGGGCCTCCCCG